GACACATGTCTGACATGTCGCTCGACTACAATATCATTGAGATCGTCTAAACTTCAAACAATCAAACCTAAATTACTCGCTATTTGATTTAGAATATATGTACCTACATAATTCATCATGCCTACTATTGGTGTTTCCTAAAGTGTATGTATTCACGTGTTAGCCTTGAGGTCATACAGTATTCTCATAACACTCTCACAAACTTTCATATATGTATATCTAATGGATTCATGGTATACAAATTATGCTTTATTTTTTCATAGGTATGCACACTTTTATCAATAAATAATTAAATATACAATTTATCTTTTTTATGCAAGAATAAAAATATATCTAAAATTTTTATTTAAGTTTTCATTGTATTCATTATGATGATATGTGCTACCATCAGTACCCTTGACTCCGAGGATTCATTGTCCTAATAAAGAATTTTTCTTAAATAATGGATATATATATATATATATATATATATATATATATATATATATATATATATATATATATATATATATATATATATATGGGTGTTTATCTGGTTTTAAAGGTATGAATATGAGCAGGTCTAATGCACGATTAGTCTCGCCCACGCGCCAGCTGCACGAACACGTTGCGAAAAGAGGCCCAGGTGCACGCGGCCTTTCCCTTTCCCGAAGAAAACAAGTCTATACAAGCATGCATGATCATCCCGAACTATGCAATCCATTAGGGCTGAAATAACTCACATGAGAAATTTATTGGTCCAGAAAACAATTCATAGTACATTGTGATTTTGTACCGATAAACTTTATACAGAAAAAACTTTGTAGATGGGAACATTCTACGTAGAAACATTCCAAACACATACGTTCTACAAATGAATTCAAAACAACATTGAAAACAAAAAAAGAAAAGAAAAGGCACATAAAAACAACTTTATATATAGAAACATTCTACCTAGAAAATATTTGGCATATAAACTTTCTACAAATGAATTTGAAACAAACATTGAAAATCAAAAGGTTAAAAAAGGATAAGGACATAATTCACGTGTGTGCTGTGAGGCTCATCTGACTTAGGAGTAGCGCCACTAGACGATCGACTCCTGCTCCTGCACCTCGCGCCCGAGTGGCCCACATGTTCTCCCCATCCCTAGCCCATGCGATAAAATCACCTAGATCAAAAAGAGAGAGGAAAGGATAGAAGGCTGAAATAGGAAGGATTACGCAGGTTGACAGATTCTTCTCTCACAGGCGGGCATTCAGCGAGTAGCCCTTTGCGTATATATATGTTCAGCGTGTGCCAATCCACTACTTGTTACATACGTCTGGTGTACAGCGCTAGCCTACAAAGTCATGGTTGAGATCATTTGTGTAATTAAGGTTTATAAGCTTCTCACTTTTCGATTGGAAGGTGTGTTTGTCGCACCTGCCATTACTTGGGTGTTTCCTGGAAGTGTGTCAATATTTCGGAATTGTGTGAGGTGGTATATTATCTCCGAGATTCCGACAAACTTTCTTTATTCAGACGTGCAGTGCAGGTTTGGCATACGAGTAGACTTTTACTTTTGTTGAGGTATACAAATAAACTTTTATAAATAAATATGTAATGATCTAGAAATAAATTAAAATACCCCACATAATAATCAAATTAATATTTATCTTAATATCTTTACATTGTCTAACCTTCCTGTGTATCCTATCTTATTGTAAAGTTATAACCCACTAACTCCTAAAGCTTAACATGCAAAGATGCCACATCATCATCCACTAACAACCATTAAATTTAAACTTCATGCAAACATATTATATTATCTATAATTTTATAATTTATTAAATTTTAGAGCTTTTAAAATACAAGCATGTTAAATCATCATCCCACATAATTTATATAATATTTCAATATATTCATTATTTTTTATAATATGCTATGTACCTATATAATTCATCCTCACTTAGTTAATGTTATTTCTCTTTTCTCTCATTAAGTCATATCATATAATTCTTTTTAGTGCCTAAATGATTAATCTATGGTCCAAATTATCTCTCCCTTTTCTTCTCTCATTAATCCATATCACCTCAATTATTTTTAGTCTTTAGATGATTAATCTACGGTCCAAACTATTTCAATACTTTTTTTCTTTCAGAAAGTCATATCAGTTTACTTTTACATTTGAATCATCATTCTATATATCATTTAAATTTAAATTATCATAAGCCACGTTAACTTATATAATCTTATGTTGTGTAGCTATTTTACATATTATTTTTATTTATTATTATCATACTTAAACTCCTGCAGCAACGTGCGGGGTTTCACCTAGTATTTTTAAGTCCACGAACCTATCCGAGAAAATGAGCATTTTTAGCTAGCCTCAATTTTTTTCCTAAACGTGACCTAGAACAGACCTTTTAGGGAAAAATTATTGTAAAACTAAGCAGACAACTTAGCTGGTAGCTTCATAAATAAGGGACCATCCATGAGCAAGTGTGCGGCCAAGATCGATTTCTTGACTATGATAGTTATGCCCTGGAGGAGATATCTCATATATATATATATATATATATATATATATGTGTGTGTGTGTGTGTGTGTGTGTACGTGCTTTTGGCTTTTGATGTGTAGTAATTACTTGACGCGACTGTTTAACTACCTAGTTATTGAAATCTAGAACAGTCGTCGAGCTATTAATCGTGGCTCACTATCTAGAAAGTGATAGGCTGACTATTTCCTCTGTTTATTTGAAATAATATTTTCACCAAATTTAGCTAAACTGACTTACATATAAAGGCACGAAAATATAACACGATTGCTTCTTTTTTTTTCATAACTCAGGTTAATTCATTCACACAGGTAGCTTGACAGCACAAACCATTCACACAGAGAAACAATACAGTTTAGAATTACTACTCCATCCCATAAAAACTAACTCCTAGCTACGAATAAACATAAGTGTGTTCAGTTTCATAGCTACTATGATTGATTTTTTTTTACGAAGAGGTACTATATAATTGACAGAAAGATTATATTCTGAATTTTTTTACTTCGAGATACCAGTTTACCCTTTGGGCGACCGAGCAAAAATTACTATATCTCGAAGTGACGGCCAACCATCTCGATCATCTCAAAAAAGATATTTTTATTCCCCTACCTTTCATTCATCACCCTAAAAATAAAATAAAATCAACTGTCAAGGCAGTGGAAATTATAAGTAAAAAAAATTAACCCACACGTCGCATCAAGCTTTCATCCACTAGCAAAGCAACTGGATTAACAACTAATCATGTTTACTTTCAAGTCACCGTGTGCCCGGGACCCGGGGTAGATATGACAAAGGTGCCTTTTTGTGGACAAAATAATGCAAGATGCCCCTTGATAAGAATGAATATTGCATTCAAGGACACAACAAGCTATAGCCTATACCTATACTACTTCTACTTTGCAAGATAAGTTGGCAGCCACAAGAAACCAGTTTGTTCTGCAGGCCACATAATTGTGAAGAAAACGATCGAGATGACAAACAAGATAAGCTACATATTTAATTTCCTCAAAAAAGATAAGCTGTGTATTTTGTGTGATTATGAAGGCATAGATGTGCAAGTATTTTGTGTGATTATGAAGGCACACATGTGTTCTATTTTCTCTGTTTCTTTTTATATATTAAAAGCTTTATATATGTATATTTTTTAATAAGCCTCCTGACCATGCTGTGATCTTTTAATTTGCATGTGGTAGTATTAACATTGCTGAAGCCTGAAGCATCCAAAATTGGAAATTGGATGAGGAAGGTTTTATTGTAAAGAATTGGTAGGAATGGTTTAATAAAATTTTAAAAATCGCCAGTCCTTCAGATTGATGTTTTATGTGGAACCGTAACAACCAATGTTGATAAACATGTCAAAAGAAATTTAAAGGGAAGTATTTAAAGCCAGAATTATATCCCTAGACTTGCAACTAATTCCCAAAATGGATTACATAGTGTGCCAACCGTACAATATCTATATTCGAGGAATTGGACATCTTCACACCTATAATTACAAGATCACATACAATTTGCAAACCAACTTAACTATAAAACGAACGTGAAAATTATTTAGCAAATGCAAATGTATATAAGCCATCGCAATTCGCAAATATATTGATAAAACTATCATAAACATGCGCATATAAAATTAGAAAAATGCTAGTAGTATCTACCATGTTGGGAAAAATAACAGAGCTGTTAATTTAAATAAATAACCGGATGCAAAGCTCCTTTTACCGCTCAAAAAGTCTCGCATCTTACCATCAAAACGCGGTTAATTACTACCCCTCTTGTATTGTCAAAGTTAACCCCTTTCCTTTTCGCACTGAGAAAAGAAAAAAAGAATAATAAGAAAAAGAAAAGAAAAGAAAAGAAAAAGGTGATTAAGAAAAAAGAGGAAACATTCACGTTTGCAAGCGGGGGGACGGATGGCGGAAAGTGGTGACGCGACGCAACCCTTTCCTTTTCCTTACCTCAAACCCACACCCTCGCACAAACACCCAAAATAGAAATTCATTTTTTATTACTCTCAAAAAGCATTCACGCTACAGTATTTAATGAATATATTATTTCTGTTTCCAAAATAAAATCATTTTTGCTTCTTTCGTTTGTTCCAAGACAAATTTACTTTTTAAGTAATCATTATATTAGAGTTTGCAAAGGTAGAAAATAAATACATTGGTCAAAATATTTATTTTTGACTTCTCCCGTTTGTCACAAAACAAATTCACTTATGAGTAATTTATCGCAGAGTTTGTGAAATTAGAAAAATAAATACATTAAGAATAGATAAAAAATCAATAATCATATTTATATTTGATTTTGTATTGGTATGCGCGGGATGAATTAAAAAACTTATTTTGTACCAAGGTTGTACTCCACTTTAGAAAAAAAAGTAATAATAGTAGTAACAAATGAAAAAGAAGAGCAAAAAAAATCAAGAAAAGGAAAAAGCAGGTAAAAAAATTATAAATAAAAAATCTCCTCTGCCCCAAGCGGGCAAATGTAACAAACAACAAACAACGCAGGGCTGCGCGAAGACGAAGATTCTATTCGCATTTCGCCTCCTCCTCCTCCTCCTCCTCCTCCTCTCTCCTTCCCTTCCCTTGCGGTGAAGTGGTGTACTACTACTACTACTAGTGCTACTACTCCTCGACTCCTCCTCGTCGTCGTCTTCGTCTCGTTGCCTCCGCCTCTCCATCCCCTTTGCTGCCTCTTCTTGGGTGGGGTTGGGTTGGGTTCTTGGCGGCGGCGAGGGTGGTGTGAATTTTGGGTGGAGGGGTGGTGTTTGATCGATTGATGAGTTGGGGAAGATCAAGATGAGGGCGGATCTTAGCACCATACAGCAGACGCTCACGCCGGAAGCCGCGGCCGCGCTGGCGAGGGCCATGGATGAGGCTGGGCGGCGCCGGCATGGGCAGACCACGCCGCTGCACGTCGCCGCCGCGCTTCTTGCCGCGCCGGCGGGGCTGCTCAGGCAGGCCTGCGCGAGGGCGGCGTCGGCGGCGGGGGTGGGTGGGGGTGGTGGCGCGGCGGCGGGGGCGGGGGCGGGGGCGCACCCGCTGCACTGCCGCGCGCTCGAGCTCTGCTTCTCCGTCGCGCTGGATAGGCTCCCGGCTGCTGCGGCGGCGGCTGCGGCGGCGCATGGGGCGGGGGCGTCGCCGCCCGTGTCGAACGCGCTCGTCGCGGCGCTCAAGCGGGCGCAGGCGCAGCAGCGGCGTGGGTGCCCCGAGGCGGCGCAGCAGCCGCTCCTCGCCGTCAAGGTGGAGCTCGAGCAGCTCGTGCTGTCCATCCTCGACGACCCCTCCGTCAGCCGCGTCATGCGGGAGGCGTCCTTCTCCTCCGCCGCCGTCAAGTCCATCATCGAGCAGTCGCTCTCCGCCCCCTCGCCGTGCCCCTCCGCCGCGGCCTCCACCACGACGGCCGGGCCCGGCCCGCTCTCCCCGTCGCCATCCCCACTCCCGCGCGCCGGCGCGGCCAACGCATACCTCAACCCTCGCCTCGCAGCCGCCGCCGCCGTCGCCAGCGGCGGCGGCGGCGGCGGTGGCGACGATGCGCGCAAGGTGATCGACGTCATGCTCAAGCCGACGCGCCGCAACCCGGTGCTCGTCGGCGACGCCGGCCCGGACGCGGTGCTCAAGGAGGCAATCCGGAGGATCCCGACGGCCGGCTTCCCGGCCCTCGCCGGCGCGAAGGTTCTTCCTCTGGAGGCGGAGCTCGCCAAGCTCGCCGGCGACAAGGCGGCGATGGCGGCGAGGATCGGGGACCTGGGCGCGGTGGTCGAGAGGCTCCTCGGCGAGCACGGCGGCGTGGTCCTTGACCTCGGCGACCTCAAGTGGCTCGTCGACGGGCCCGCGGCGGCGGCGTCGGAAGGGGGCAAGGCCGCGGTGGCGGAGATGGGGCGCCTTCTCCGTCGATTCGGGCGCGCCGGCGTGTGGGCCGTCTGCACGGCGGCGTGCACCACCTACCTCCGCTGCAAGGTCTACCACCCGGGGATGGAGGCGGAGTGGGACCTCCACGCCGTGCCCATCGCCCGCGGCGGCGCGCCGATCGCCGCCGCCGCCGCCGGCTCAGCTCTCCGGTGCGTCCATCTCTTTCCCCTGCCTGATTCAATCTTGATTTCTTACAAAAAAAATTGTTTGGTGTGAATTTGTTTCACCTGGGAGAAGATTTCATTTGGTGGGGAAATTTTTGCTTTGATTAAGGTTTTTTTTAATTCACTATGATGGTTGAAATCCTGAAAAAGGTAGTAGTTGCTTTTTGTGTAACAACAGTACGCTTCTACTTTTGTGTTCAATCTCATAACTGTAGCTCAATTCCTGTCAATTTGATGAATTATTATTGGATTGTGTAGGCCTGGAGGCAGTGGAATTCTCAACAGCTCGATGGGGATGCTATCACCTGCACTTCGGCCTATGCCAGTGACACCAACGGCGCTCCGGTGGCCGCCTCCGGGGAGCGACCAGTCTCCGGCAGCAAAGCCGGCCATGTGCTTGCTTTGCAAGGGTAGCTATGAGCGCGAGCTCGCTAAGCTTGAGGCCGAGCAGACGGATAAGCCGGCGTCCCGCCCTGAGGCTGCCAAGCCTGGATTGCCACACTGGCTGCAGCTCAGCAATGATCAAAATAAGGTATGTGTTTTTCCCCTGTCGAAATCTTGGGTAAACATCAAGCTCTCTTCTACCGGAATCGCCATTAATATATGGTGTTTTTTGTTTCTTTATTACAGGCCAAGGAGCAAGAGCTGAAACTTAAGAGGAGCAAAGATGAGCTTGAGAGGAAATGGCGCGAGACGTGTGCCCGAATCCACTCCGCCTGTCCCATGGCACCGGCGCTCTCCGTGCCTCTTGCCACATTCACGCCACGCCCACCCGTCGAGCCCAAATTGGGGGTCGCAAGGGGTGCCGCTGTCCCCACTCTTAAGATGAATCCCAGTTGGGAGAAGCCCTCGGTTGCGCCGACCCTTGAGCTCCGTAAGAGCCCTCCTGCCAGCCCAGTGAAAACTGACCTTGTGCTCTGTCGCTTGGACCCGGGCACGAATCCTGCTGTGGAGAATGAGCAGAAGGAAAGTTGTGAAGGACTAACGGCTCTACAAAAGGCCAAGATTGCTGGAATTTCTGATATTGAATCCTTCAAGAGGCTCCTCAAGGGGCTTACAGAGAAGGTCAGCTGGCAGTCAGATGCCGCTTCAGCCATTGCTGCTGTTGTAATACAATGCAGATCTGGCAGCGGGAAGCGGCGGAACGTTGGGACAAGGGGTGACATGTGGCTCCTGTTTGTTGGCCCTGATCAAGCTGGTAAGAGGAAGATGGTGAACGCATTGTCTGAGCTGATGGCAAACACCAGACCAGTCGTCGTGAACTTTGGTGGTGACTCCCGGTTGGGCAGGGTCGGCAATGATGGTCCTAACATGGGTTTCTGGGGAAAAACTGCACTCGACCGGGTCACTGAGGCAGTTCGGCAGAACCCATTCTCGGTGATTGTTCTGGAGGGCATCGATCAAGTGGACGTTGTTGTGCATGGAAAGATCAAACGGGCAATGGAGACCGGTCGCCTACCAGACTCCCGTGGGCGTGAGGTCAGCCTTGGTAATGTCATATTTGTGCTCACCACAAACTGGGTACCCGAGGAGCTCAAGGGATCAAACGTTGAGACTCTGCTACGAGGTGAAGAGAGGATGTTGGAGTCAACAAGTTCGAGTTGGCAACTAGAGCTCTCGATTGGTGACAAACAGGTCAAGCACCGAGCAGATTGGCTATGCGATGATGTTCGCCCTGCAAAGTTAGCAAAAGAACTGTCCAGTAGTCACGGTCTGTCACTTGACCTCAATTTGGCAGTCGGCGCCTTGGATGACACTGAGGGCTCACATAATTCCAGTGATGTCTCGGTGGAACAAGAGCAGGAGAAAGGGCAGCTTGCAGTCAAGCGATCAACACCGGCCCCTGGCTCTGATATATTGGAACTTGTCGATGATGCCATTGTGTTCCGACCTGTTGACTTCACGCCATTCAGGAAGACGGTTACAGATTGCATATCGGCGAAATTTGAATCGGTCATGGGGAGCAGCAGCTCATTCAGGATTGATGAAGATGCCGTCGATTGGATGGTTGGCAGTGTCTGGCTTACCGACGAGAAGATTGAGGACTGGGCCGAGAAAGTGCTCAAGCCGAGCATTGAGCGATTGTGGCACAATGTGAAACATGATAGCGGGCGCTCTATCATTCGTCTTACAGCAGTTGCAGCCAAGGCATTGCCAAGGTGGGGAGGGGGCAGGGAAGGGCTACCGGTGGCGGTAACGATCGCCATTGATGGCATGTAGAGAGGGAACTGGGGGGAGATAAATTCTTTGTATGGTAGATATGTAAATATTGGGGAGAACAACTCCCTGTTATAAGCTAGGGGAGGTTACTATCTGAAGCACATAGGAGGGAGGGAGAAATGTCCATTGACCACCAAATAGGCATGGAGGTTATAGATCTTATAACACCCAAATATGATCTATAGTTTTGATATATTTTATAGCTGTGTTGATTGAAACAAAAAAAAGGTTTTCTTTTGCTTCTTCCTAATGTTGCAAGGATTGATCGGTGTAGAGGAAGTAAATAATGATATTGTGCAATAATTTTCTTGGCCTGGAACCAAATGTGCTCAAATCACTTCTTGTAATGCATGAGCCATTTGAAATGCATCAGGTTGCAAAGATGTGAATATATCAGAAGTTTTGCTCTGTGTGTTTTGTACTTGTCTGATGTGAATATATTTATTGACAGGGAAGAAAAGTTGATTCAGGCTGTTTTGATTGTAACCCTTTTTGGGAGCTTATCTCTTGAATTGGTACCAACTGTAAAGTAGGTCAACTTTATTGAAAGTTGATATTCTGTTCAAGAAATATGGAAAAACGTGACATTCATGTTTGCTGATAGTTGTGTTTTTTTTAAACTTTTATTATTCTTCACATAAATTTCTTGCTTATCATTATAACACATCGTTATCTTGATTGAATCTAGTGATGAATCTTTGGCCACACGCCCATACCGTGGTCCAGGTCGAACCCTACTTTTTCTCACAAATTTTCAGAAACTTTCTAAAATAAGAATCTAAAGGCATTGCTCGGTTTCTCACAGCTTTATACACTATGACAACATTTCACACTAGATAGCTGCACTTTATCTTTTGGATGTTAAAGGTTGACCATACATATCAAGTATCACTTCTTGCATGCAATGGTTACCTTTCCTTTCTTGCTTGCTTGCTATACTTTCTCACTTGAATCATCAAAAGATTATACTAGTTAAAAAACTCAATATGAAATATTATGCTATAAAATATCATCAGAGTTTTTTTTTTGTTATTTTGTATGTCATGTGGCCAATTAGGTGGCTCCCTGCCACTAAGTTTAACCATCACTATTTAATTCTGTGTTTAGTTATGTGGTATGATTTGATCCACCAATACTACGTTGGACCCGAGGCATCTTGTTGTTTTCTTTATTGGAAAAACTTTTGGTGAGAACCAAATAGCAACTTTTTGGCCTAATTGTGGGCCCACATTGATGTGGCAGATCACCAACTCAAATCAACTTGGAAACATTCTATGCTTGTTTATTCTATTAATGTTAGGTTCCATCAGGGAAGCTTAACTTTTTTAATTACAAGCTAACCTGCATGAGTCACAATGACAATTATACCCCTGAATTACACTAATGATAGAGCTTATTGCTGTTCAAAGGGACTTCAACTTCAGTGGCAATTGTGTCTGTGAATCGTCAGAGGGATTACTTTCTATGTGCATGTGACGAGGACACGTGGCATTGCTAATTTCTTTATTACTCACTCAAGTTGGCTCGATTAGATTAATTATCTAGCTTTGTACTTTGCAGCACTCTCATTATTTTTTATTGATCTAGTTGGGTGACTGAAAACTTTGCAAAGAGTATGCATTTGTTAAAGTGCCTTTCCATGTGACAAAAGATATATATGGATCATGCACCATTTTGTCTTATTAACATAAAAGCCCATAAGAGAGAGAGAGAAGAGTGGTGGATCTAAAAGCCTTCTCAGAGGCAGATAAACTTAGTTTTCAGGGTACAACTTGTCACTAATAAGTGGTCATAATACATGCTACTATTGAGGCAGAGATCTTAGGTAACACGTTTTAGTCTGTAATTATGCTGGAAAAGTTGTGGATCGGTGTGAGCACCATCAATAATGCCTTTCGGGCAAGTTCAGTTGCTAATGTGTTCATCTGTCCCTTTTTTTAATCTCTCCATCACTTATCTTTTTAACTTAACCTTTCCTGCCACTTGTCTCATGTGGAAAGTGATGGTGGAATCACTGTATAATAATGGCTTTACAGTCCTTTTTCTCTTAAAGTAAACTGAATTTACACCGGATAGAGTGTAGCTCATTTCACTTTGGATTAAGTTCGATATATAGATGTTTTCACTTGACGCTTGGGTATAGTAAAATGGGAATATATCCTATGCATATAAGCTTTCCGTGTACGCTTCGTGCACACTAACTAACTAATGTCATGAAAAATTTTAGAAAAAATTGGACATGCACTTCTAACAGTATTACACATGTTGCAGAGTTTCATATTCAAAATTCATTATATTTAGTTGTAACAAAAAATGAAAAATTGATAGCTTTAATAGTGAAAATCTATCAGAATTTTTTCTTTTTTGTTATGGCTAAAATATAACGAATTTGAAGATAAACTTTCACACAAAGGTGTAATACTATTGGAAGTATTCGTTCATTTTTTTCTAAAATTTTCTATAATATTTGGTTATTGGTGTGCATAGATAGCTTGTGTATATAGAATATGTTCCCTATTAAATAAGTTCTAATTTTGCTATAGGTTGCGTCATATAATCATATGAAATATTATAAAATATGAGTGAAACTTATGAGGCTTCTTGTATTTAGGGCACATTAATGAAGTTTCGTTCAAATTTTACAAAATTTCAAGAAATTTTTCTGGGTATTATATATGATATATGCATCCTGTTATCAGGTGAAACTTATTTCAAGCTAGCTACCCTAGTGTAAACTGTGAAGTAAAATATATGTGATAAATATAATGCAAATAAAAAGACAAACATATGATATGTTTTACCTAGTGTAAAGTGCAGTTTACTCTTTATCATATCCAAAAATTGATAAAATAATGCATTGCATTTGCATGGCTGGTTAATTTTGTACCGATACCAACGCACAGAGGCAAAATCACAAGTTTCACAACTATAGTCCAACTAGTATACAATATATATCTACATTTTGCACCAGATGAAGCATCTTAATCCACTCAAGTTTGATTGATCTAGACCCATGCTTCCGAATTCCTATACAGCTAGTTGTACATGGTATAGGATAGTGATGGTGTTGGTTTAAGAGGGTGAGGCGATCGAGAAGAAATCATTTCTCCAATTCTTCATATCCAAAGATACCCTTAACCAAATATAATAGATTTGTGGACCGACCAACCTAACTACGTGCATATACACATCAATATACGGTTGGACGTGATATTTTCCTAGATAGTTTTTTTTTAAAAAAATAAAGGATATATCATGGAAATATCCAATCAAATGTCCATAGGTAGTGTAGAGCTGTGGGTGTATGATTTTAACTAGGGTTTAAAATTAACTTCGGTGCCTATAAATATTAAGCACGTGTAGACTTGTTTTCAATAAAAATTTAGTGAGGCTAGAGATTTACCGTTGGTCTTCAACTCTTATTAAAGAATAAGTCTTACAATACCATACAACCCATTAATTATATACCAGTTAGAAAAAAACTACACTCCTAGAGATTCATCGCTCCTCGGACCCACGCGTGCTCCGGGCCAGTAAAAGTCAACACGAATGGCCCCACATTAGTGCCTTTTTTGGAGACTAACTAGCACTTATACATGTGGGTGAGTTATCACTGTCGGTTAGTGAACAAAAACAACACTAATTTATTGTTGGTATTCCTTACGGTTACAAATAAATCCACAAGCGCACAGATAACTGATTCGGTCGAACCAGGGCAAACCGCCTTTGGTTAGGGGATGACAAGTGGGCCCCTTGGTTGGTTCATAGTTGTTTGGTCCCACTTTAAGTCGGTTTGGTTTGACCTGTGGGCCTATCAATCCATGTGCTCTCACGTGATTCACTAGAAGTGTGTTTCTTTGCATGCCGACTCATTTCTCCTTCACTAATTGTATATTCCCTGCGTACAAAGTATTTCTCCAATACAGGTGAAACTACATTATTTATAACTGACATACGTGCAAGAAATGTTAGTTCTCCCTTTATTTATTATGATAGTTGGCGGTCGAAATTGGTACTTAATGACTGTAAACAATTGTTGATTGTAAGACCATAGATCTATAAGCTGAACACAGTCCAAGACCCCATATCGTCTGACTCCTCTCTTCATCTCCCTTAGTATGGTGGTCTCTCCCTCTCCACCTGCCTCTCTGCTAGCCTCTCCCTCTTCGTCGACCAGCATGAGAAAGGCATGACAATGTTGGGGAGGAGAAAAAGGAGAGAGAAGAGGGCATGGCAATGCTGGAAAAGGGAAGGTAGGAGGAATTGGAGGCCATGACGGCAGCTCCTCCAACGCGACGACAGCTTAGGAGACTCTACAAAGATAGCACCCGATGGATCCGACATCATTGAGGTGACGACCAGTGGATCTAGCGTCGAAGAGGCTTAGGTATGGTAATGGTTGTGATCACTGGCTTGGCTTAGCATGTTGTGACAACCATGTGTTAACGACCAAATTTGGTAATCGTCATCGGAGATGAAGATTAGACTGAAGAGGAATCCAAAATAGAGATCGTCCTGGAAACAGAGCGGGAATCAGCTAAGTCCGAATCGGCTGCGGCTTTAATTGGCAGAGTTCGAGTCGGACAAGGTTAGCCGATTGAGCCGAATCCGACAATGTGACACGGTATACGTTATCGGGTTGAGTTAATGTGCTTCTTGAAGATTGCCGTGCACGGATTGAGTCCTGAGAAGGCAATTGTATCTATTAATTAGGATATTTCATGTAATTTCCTTAGCGATATGTTTGAGCAAAAGTCTGCCGCAAAGACTTATGGTATCTTAGAGTTTGTTAGAGATAAGAGTCGTGTCCGACACAGACTTGTTTTGTAATCTCGGGTATAAATAGACCCCGAGCCCTATGTAATATAACAATACACGTTCAATACAATCTCGGCGCATCGCCACCCTTTACTTTCGTTTTGTTTCGACGAGTTCTTCCTTTCGGGTTGAGCTGCATCGGTTTCGATCTTCAACTAGAGGATCAAATCAACTGGCACGCTCACACACCTAAAGGCAAGCTTTTGGACCTGCACTGGAGTTAAGCAGATCTCCCAGGCCTCGTGTTTTTACATCAACACCGTGCCATCACAGTTGTCCTCTCTTCCTCTTGTCTCATGCTAGACGAGGCGGCGCACCACCAGATCTAACGTTCTAGAGGCCGCTGGTCATCGTGCACACTTTCAATGGGTCGCTAGCACTACTAGAGAACTGATCTTTCGACGTGGTACCCAAAATCACAAATATCTCGGTTAGATTAAAAACCAGTGCTAAAGTTCAATCCCCTAGAAACATCTTTAGTCCCGATTGGTATTACGTGTTACCAACCGGTACTAAAGATGCATATCTAGTACTAGTTGGTAATACCAACCAGGACTAAAGATATTTTTAGTACCACCAACCAGTGCTAAAAATGCCCCAGGGTTAATTAAAAAAAGAAAGCATATCTATTTAAATCATATGTGTGTAGTAGGCGGGATGGTTACACGCGTAACGGTTGAGGTGAGAGATCTTGAGTTCGAATCCCCATCCCACATATTTTTACCACTTGCTATGCATCTTTAGTACCGGTTACATTGAGATATTTAGTCCCGATTTACTCGTCTCGGTTGCTATAACTGTTAGTAAGGGTGTTGTAAACCGGGACTAAATATCAGTTCTCTAGTAGTGTAGATTGGGTTGAATTGATGTGAATTAATATCTGAATTATTGTTTTCTTGCTTGATGCGGAATTCTGGTATATTTTTTCACTACTAGAAAAAAGGTATTTGCAGGCGGGCCAAAAACGTCATTCTAGGCGGGCTAGCGTTCCGCCTGTACCTAAACGACTGTAAAAATCTACAATTTTTACAGGCGGACCACAGCACCGCCTATGAAAATCATTTTTGCAGCCGGCAGTTGAGATCTTTCCAGGCGCTACAATAGCCCCACCTGCAAAAATATTCACCACGCCAAAAAGAAAATTTCCGGCCAGCCCCACCCCCTCAATAGGTTTCAAATCATAAATCACAAATTCTCACAAATCTCATCCAGAATACAAAATCCAATCACAAAGATCCATACATCAACGAAAAAGCATTGGATTCGAATTCACAACATCAGCTTGCAAGTTAACATCAATCAACATATAAACTTAAAAAAAACAACGTCGTTGTCGTCGCCGGCGAACTTCTTGGAGAGGGAAGAGCCGAGCTGGCGCCTCTCCTCCGTCCGCCGGCCTCCACAAGCGGCACTGTCGTCGTTGTCATCGTCAGTGCGTCGGCGCCGTCGTCGTCGTGCGTTTGCTCCTCCTATCCACAGGTGGTGTCATCGTCGCGGCCTCTCCTCGTCACTGCCTCCTTCCCGATCCTCCCCTGTCACGAACTCTCGGATTCCGGTGAAACGCACGGAGATTGAAGGGGAATCATGTTCGTGATTGAGGAACGATGAGAGGAGAAGAGCAGAACAGAGGTAGACGATGAAAGGTTGTTGGTTTGAGTTTTTCTTATTCGATAATCGCTTTACAGCTCAGCTCGCCATATAAATGGCAGCACACGCACATGTGTCCGATGCCACCGCCGAACCAACACGGCACATCGACACACACACGTAACCGGCCCATTTGTGGCCCATCAGAGAATACAACCCAAATAGAAGAATCACAGAAGGATCTAATAGACTTAAGTATCATGACATTTCTCCCCTCAAGTATCAGCTTGTCCCCAAGCTGGTGATGACGGAAAACGTGCTTGGAGTTGACGAAGATTTTCCCAAGTCGCCAGAGAAGCAGGTAGCCCCGTCCATTGCACCAACCCATATGGAACAACTGACTTGCCACGTTTAATCAGTTGTCTCCGTAGAACTGCTTCAGGTTGGACATCTGCAGGGTTATCAAAGCAATTTAAGGGTAAATCATTACTTACAGGTATGTTGGGTTTCAGAGCCTTCTTCAGCAATGACACATGCACAACAGGATGAACTGCACTGCCTGTGGGTAACTCCAATCTATATGCCACTGCACCAACTCGAGCCAGCACCTTGTATGGTCCAAAATATCGAAAACAGAGTTTTTGACAAGAGCGTCGAACTACTGACATCTGAACATAGGGCTGAAGTTTCAGAAAGACCATATCACCAACTTCAAACTGACGCTCTGAGCGATGTTTATCTGCTTGTGCTTTCATTCATTGCTGCGCTCGTAGAAGTTGCTGATGGAGGATGTCATTGAGATGAACTCTGTTTTGAAGCCAAACTTGGACATCAGGTACTATGCTTTCTCCAAGATCCACTAGACCAAAATGATTAGGTTGCTTGGCAAGCAACACTTCATATGGAGACTTGCCCAAAGCACTATGGAAAGACGTATTATACCAATGCTGAGCCTGGGCTAACTAATCAGCCCATTTTGTGGGACAAGCATGAACTGTACACCTCAGATATGCCTCCAAACACTGGTTAAGTCTCTCTGTTTGCCCATCTGTTTGGGGGTGATAGGATGAACTCATGTTCAGCTTCACATCAGCCAATCGAAATAGCTCCTGCCAAAGTGCGCTGGTGAACACTCTGTCTCTATCTGAAATTATAACTTGAGGCATTCCAAACACATCGTAAATGTGGTGAATGAAAGCTTTTGCCACAGTAAGAGCTGTAAATGGGTAGGTCAAAGGGATGAACTTGGCAAACTTTGTGAATTTATCTACCACAACCAGTATAGTGTCATATCCTCCAGATTTGGGCAAGCCCTCCACAAAGTCCATGCTGACTGTGTACCAAGCCTGCAAGGGAACAGGTAGTGGTTGAAGTGTACCTGGTGTCTTACAATGTTTAGTTTTAGCCTGTTGATAGATTGAGCAAGTTTGCACATATTCAGTAACATCTTTCTTCATTTTTGGCCACATGAACAGGTGCTTAATCCTTTTGTAGGTAGCCTGTATGCCAGAGTGACCTCCAATTCCACTACTGTGTAATGATAACAACACTGCCTATTTGGCCTCATGATAGTTGCCTAGCCAAATTTTGCCCTTAAACCTAATCACCCCATCTACCAAAGCAAAATCATCCATACCCTCAGGCTGAAGAGCTAGTTTCTGCATCAGCTGCATAGTGGCTGGATCCTTGTGATAACTTTCCACAACCATCTCCAACCATTTGGGCTGGCTTGTTGAAATTGCATAGATTTCTTGCTGCTCATCTTTCCTAGACAAGGCATCAGCAACCCTATTGTCTTCTCCTTTCTTGTATCTGATCTTATATTGTAAACCCATCAATTTGATAAAAGCCTTGTTTTGAATACTTGTTGTCAGCCGTTGCTCATTCAGATGGATCAAACTCTTGTGATCAGTGTGAATGACAAAGGGCGCATGTTGCAAATACTGCCTCCATTTATCCACTGCCAGCAGAACAGCTATACATTCCTTTTCATAAGTTGACATAGCTTGAGATCTGGGACTGAGAGCCTTACTAATGAAAGCCAGTGGGTGTCCATCTTGCATCAGGACTGCCCCAATGCCTGTACCACTAGCATCTGTCTCAACCACAAATTCTTTAGAAAAGTCTGGTAATGCCAAAACTGGAGCTTGAACCAATTTATGTTTGATCATGTCAAAAGCCTGTTGTTCAACATTAGTCCACTTGTATGGCACATCTTTCTTCAACAATTCAGTGAGGGGTTTTGCCAATATGTCATAGTGTTGTATGAACTTTCTGTAGTACCCAGCAAGTCCCAAAAATCCTCGAAGTTGCCTTTGAGTCTTTGGTGGTGACCATTGCTGGACTGCCAGAATTTTGGCTGGATCAGTTGCCACTCCTTCGATCCCAATAATGTGCCCTAAGTACTCCAGGTATTGCTGAGCAAAAGAGCACTTACTAATTTTAACAAAGAGTTGGTACTGCTGGAGCCTTGCCAAAACTGCCTTGAGATGGGACACATGTTCTGTCAGATTTCGACTATAGATGAGTATATCATCAACAAAAACAAGAACAAACTTCATTGTATTAATTAGTCCTTGAAAAGTTGCTGGTGCATTTGTAAGACCCTGATGGCATAACTTTGAATTCATACAGACCCTGATGTGTCCTAAAGGCTGTTTTGCATTCATCCTGCTCCAGTAGTCGAATTTGGTGGTATCCAGACCTTAAATCTAGTTTAGTAAACCATTGTGATCCTGCCAATTCATCTAGCAATTCATCCACCACTGGCATGGGATACTTGTTCTTGACTGTAATGTTGTTGAGAGCTCTATAATCCACACAGAATCTCCAGGTCCCATCCTTTTTCTTCACAAGCAAAACTGGAGAGGCAAAGGGGCTTACACTGTGTTGAATTATGCCTTGTTGCAGCATTGTCTTGATTTGTCTTTCAATCTCATCCTTTTGTGTTGGGGCATACCTGTAAGGCTTGATGTTGACTGGTTTTGCATCAGGTGTCAATGGAATACTGTGGTCAAAATCCCTGTGGGGAGGTAATTATGTGGGTTCCTGAAAAACCTGCTGAAACTCCTGCAATAACTGTTGAACATCAGAGGGCATCTTCTCTTGCTGCTCAGGCTCCTCCCTGATTGTACAGAGATGAATCATTTGAGATATGGCCCCCCTATTTGCCATTACTGCTAACTGTCTCCCTAAGATTAGCCTACAATGATCTGTCTGATCCTTCACCCTTGTCAAAGTGACATTGTTTCCCTGATGTTGGAATCTCATCCTTTTTCTCTTCCAATCAATCCACATTGGACTGAATTTTTCCAACCAGTCCATCCCAAGTATCATGTCATAACTGCCAAGTCCCAACACCTTCAGTTCACTAGCAAAGCTTTGCCCCTGGCACCACCACTCAACATTTGGAACCACCTTTGTGCAAGATAACTGCCCCCCATCTGCTATGGTTACCTTTGTGGATACAATATCTTGAGTTGACAGCTGAAGCTTATCAACCACATGTTCAGCTATGAAACTGCTGGAACTTCCTGAATCCACTAATATCAACAACTCTTGGTTCTGAATCAGCCCTTGAAGTCGTATGGTTTTCTTACCAATCACCCCTGACAGTGCACATTCAGACAACACAAGTTCCTTTTCCTCACTACTTTCATTTCCCTCTTCCTTCTCCATCTCATCACTTTCTTGAAGCTGTAATACCTCCAAAAGCTCTTCCAACACATGTAATTGCACAGACTTTGGTCACTTGTGTCCTGGAGCATATTTTTCACCACACTTGAAACACTCTCCCCTAGCCCTTCTTGTAGCTTTCAGAGAGTCAAACCTCTCTTTCCACTTGGGTTTTTCTTCCAACTTTTTACCCTCTTCAGGAGTTGCACCCAAAATGCCTTTCCCCTGATATGGAGTCTTGTTGAAAGTCCTGTAGCTCTCTTTAAATGTCTGCTTCACTGGTGCCTTCTTGTTCATTTCCCCCAAAAGCTCCTCCTGTGTTTTTGCAAGAAACAACGCAGCATCAACAGAACGAGGCTTCTGCAGCTTGATTGTTGCCTTAATTTCTGTTTTAAGTCCTCCCACAAATTTTGTAACAAAGAAAGTCTCATCATACCCCTTGTTATACACTAGCACCTTATGCATAAGCTCTTCAAACTTGCTGTAATACTCTTCTACACTACTCATTTGGCTAAGACCATCTAGTTCCTCAAGGTGTTGCTGGTACCTATCCCTCCCAAACTTACTATGCACTGCTACACACAATTCAGACCAGCTTTCAACACTATGCCTTTCCTCATAAGTCTACAACCATAGAGCAGCATTCCCTATGAAGTGTAAGGTGGCAAAGGCTGACCAAGTTTCATAGGGCACCTGGTACATACTAAAGTATTTCTCGCTATTGGTTTTCCACAATTTAGGATTATCACCATCAAATTTGGGGAAATCAGACTTAGGCAACCTAGAATTTCCGGCTCGTCCACCACTCTGGAATCCCAAAGCCCCACTCTTAGAATTCTCCCACAAATCAAAATTAACTGGCGAGTTGTGAAAAATCGGCTTACCCTTGACCAGGGTTCGATCCTGAACCGAGTTGGCTCCAGAGTCAAAACCCTGGTGATATTCTTCTCCGCGGTGCCCATCGGGCATTGGCGTCGCCATTGCTGATGTCGCCTGAGGCCTTGCTTCGAGATCCGTCACGCGAGCGGCAATTCCTTCCACCGTGCTCCGCAGATCCTTGATTCCCGCATCAACACTTGGAATCCACTTCTCAAGCCCTTGCATGGTTCCCAGCAAGTTGTTGATGTTGGTGGTTAGCTCGGTGACGCGTTCTCCCAACGTCTCGATCTCTTCTTCCGCGGCCCCCATCCTCTGAGTAAGAGTTGCTTGAGATTTCTTCCTCGCCAGGATGCGCCCAACCTAGGCTCTGATACCAGAATGTCACGAACTCTCGGATTCCAGCGAAACGCACGGAGATTGAAGGGGAATCAGGTTCGCGATTAAGCAACGAGGAGATGAGAAGAGTAGAAAAGAGGTAGACGATGAGAGGTTGTTGGTTTGAGTTTTTCTTATTCGATAATCGCTTTACAGCTCAGCTCGCCATATAAATGGCAGCACACGCACATGTGTCCGATGCCACCGCCGAACCAGCACAGCACATCAACACACACACGCAGCCGGCCCATTTGTGGCCCATCAGAGAATACAACCCAAATAGAACAATCACAGAAGTATCTAATAGACTTAAGTATCATGACATCCCCTCCCCGAGACTGGCCGGCGGCGGATCCGGCGCCTGCGGAGGCGAGGAGGGGAATCGGCGGCGGATCCAGCGCCTGAGGAGGCGAGGAGGGGAGCCGGTGGAGGATCCGGCGCCCGAGGAGGCGAGGAGGGGAGCTGCTGTCATCGTAGCTCATCGGTGCCGTCGATGTTCGTCGCCGCCGGCTCGTCGGAGCCACCGCCGCTGCTCGAAGTTGACGAGGAGCGGAGCCATGGCCGCGGCTGCCCTACCCTACTGCTCCTACTCGGCGCCGAGGCCGGCCGCTGCTTACCCGCGCGTGAGAGAGAGAGGAGAGGGAGAGAGAGAGGAGATGGGGAAATGAGTGGTGGGGAGGGATGAAGGAGAAGATAAGGATGGGGGTGTAGGAGAGATAAGTTGAAGATTTTTTTTTTTGACATTTTTGCAGGCGGACTATATATAAGGTTCCGCCCAGAAAAATCATATTTTTTCAAACGGACCACTTAAGGGGTCCACCTGTGAAAATAAATATATTTTCGCAGGCGAACCCCTTAAGTGGTCCGCCTGGAAAAATTGATTTTCACATGCGGATGATAAAAATCCACCCCGATTTATATTTATGTAGGCGGATATTTGGCTCCGAGTGTCATACCCGCCTAAAAAAATAAAAGGCCAACGTCGCTAAAAATTGTTTTTCTAGTAGTGTTTTGTGTTCTTGTAAGAGTGATCTCCGGAGATGGAAAGAAAATGCTGTGTAAATGTGAGTACGCAATATTGATTTGTGTATCATATAATTCTAGATTGTTGCGTACAAATTAATGCAAGATCTGGATTTGATGTGTATAAATGTGTACTACTGATTCTTGTGATTTTGGGTACGTCTCACGTACTGTCTAGAGTGAAATCCGTAAATGATTGTACTGTTTTTTTTTTCTTGACGAAAATGGGTATAAGTATATAAGTGCTGGTTCCCCATGTCGACCTAAGTCCTAACCACTAAACAGCACTGATGATTCTCCTTACATGCGAGGCTGCCCTTACAAACCAGCGCTGACAAATTAAGGTACTGTCCTACGATAATGTTAGCATTATTAAGAAGGCAAGTCAAGTTAATGAAGCACCCTAGTTTTTGAACAATGTCACCGGAATAGCTATTTAGATATAGACAAATGCCGTTTGTAATCCTATTTTTAATACATATATAATTAATCCCAAATCATAAGATACATGCATGATTGTTATCCTCTCTAGAAGACCGGGCAAAACCTGCATAAATTTGTCTCGTTTGATATGTCCTCCCGGCTTGTTCGGTAACTCAATGGAAGGGGATTGGGAGTTTACACAAAGGAATTGATGATGAAAACGGATGGCTGAGATTTGCTTAGACAAAGTAAAGGAGGAATTCCCTTCCAATTACCTGCCCCTACCCAGGTATTGAAAAGAAAGAAGTTCCTTCCTCAATTCTCCATCCCTATCCCACCAAAATTCTCATTTCTCCCAACCAAACAAAACACTTAATAGCCTCATCCCTCTAACCCCCCAATCCCTTCTAAAAACTCCCTCCAACCAAACGGACCGTCCATGCTTAGTCGGTGACCAGGTGTATTGCCTCCTCTATTTTATTTTTACCATTAACTTTATCAATCATCCACAAAACGACGCAGCTGGTAATTTAACAACTTCTCCAGCAAAAATAAACCTTTGACCAATAATTTGGATTTAAACTTGTGTCTGGTTGGTAGCCAGGTAGTAACCGGTAATAGTAGTGGATCTACCCATTAAGAATGGTGGGCCAACCCATCCAACTAAGACCCATGTCATCCCACACCCCAAGACCTCCCTACCCCTTTATAGTAATTATTATTGGCAATCGGAATTTGGTATAAAAAAAGGTGTGAACGTCCAAGAGATTTGTCTGTCTCTTCACAATGTGTGTATGCCACAAATAATGATTGATGCAGTTATGCGATTGAATTATAAATACGATATGTGTTGGGTTCGATTGCTCTTATCAAGTGAACATCTTTGTTCTTCGCCCCCATCTATATTTTAAAGCTGTGTCCGCCACTAGATATTCTGGAGAGGCCATAATTGTTTTCCCGGAACATGTACTGCTACATCCGTTTCAGATTACTTCTTATCGTTCTTATTGTTTTAACTTTATCATAAGTTAAAATATTTTTTATCTTTAAACATTAATTTGTAAAAAATTATATAGCATGATATTATAAGATTTATATATGTTTTAAAATTCACCATAACAAGTGTTTTCTTATCATATAATTCACATATTATTAAGCTATATAAATTTCTATGAATTGATAGTCAATTAGAAATGTTTGACTTAGAAAAAATCTAAAATGATAAATAATTTGAAACGGATGGAGTACTTAAGAGTCTGTACTATCAACTATAGCTGATAGTGCATCTGGTAGAGTACGAGGCTGTGTTCGAGACAGCTAAGAAGGGTAGACTATCACTATTGGAGAAACCATCTTTGCCCAGTCGACAAAACTACAATAGTCCCGGTTTGAATAGAAACCGGGACTAAAGATGATTTTTTTCCCGGTTTAAAACTATATCGACCCTAGATGATATATCAACCAGGTTAATCGTGCATTGCGCTAAAATATAAGATAAATCTATTTCTTAAGTTTATAACAATTAAAACTCAATTGATTATATGTTAATAGCTTTCTTATTTTTCATGTTTTAACTTTATCTTTTATCTCTATCTTGGGTAAGAAACGAAGTGCCTTAATTAATTCGCTTTTACTCTGTGCGTGACTTGCACAGTTGCAAACATGGCACCCTCCCCTTGCACAGGAGCAAGATGCAAGGGCCATGCAGTGCAGTGCAGGGCAATTAAAGATCCTCCTTGAGTGTGGCCACAGCCTTTTGTCTCCTGCAGTACACGCCGGCCGGGGTTGCATGTAATGCACAAGCTATAATGCATGCAGATCACAGATACTGTTGCCCTGCAAAGTCCAAGCAAGTTCGGACGACGATCAGGCCAAACACCCCTTACCTTGCTTGCTAGACAACTGTACCTTTTGCCACATTCATGGCGCCTCTCAATCATGGGAGAAATTTTGTGCGCTCCTCTGTACGTGTGTGTCGATCGTCCCCGGCGTGCATGCTATCTAACATGGACTTAGGGCAGGGATGAACAGTGTGGTACATGTTGCCCCCCTACCAGGTCATTCATCCGGGTACGCAGCACCGCCATGTCTGATCGATCGCAGAATAATTTATTATTGTCTTTGTTCTAAAATAGAGTAACTTTTAGTTATAAATTTAGATAAATGTAGTATGTCATTTATAGCGAAAAGTTATTATATTTTAGAACGATGGATGTAGTATATTTTCTATTTTTACAACGGACGCATGGTGTAGATTCTGCATGCGCCAAGGTCTAACAGTATCTAGTTCCATTCTCTCTTTTCTCTCGCCTGGTGCCGGTTTTTACCTATCGACTCGGTCAAGAGGGTTACAGAATAATTTTTATAGAATATATAATGTATATAGTACCTGTATCTTGATCTCTCAGCTCAATTAATTAGTAAAATGTGGTAACTAAATTGGAGAAGGATTAATTGTAATGAAAATATCTAATGCAACCAAGCCTCTTTCATATAATTGAGAAAAAAAATGATACTGTGGACGAGATATGTGAGATCATCTACACATGTGAAGTAGGGTTGTCAACGAGCCATGCTCGAGCGAGCTCGCCTGCCTACGCTCGAGCTCAATACAAGCTCGAGCCGAGACTGCAAAATGTTCGAGCTTTTAGGCAGGCTCGGTTCGAGCTCAATCAAGCTTGAGCTTGACTACCGAGCTTGATTTTTAAGTAAAGCAATGTATATTTTAAGGATAATCTTAAAAAATTAATTAATTAATAGTCCATCATATTAATAGAAATGAAAAAGAATAAAATAAATATATGATGCCAATATAGTGCAAACAAATAACATATTTGATCTCCTAATTTATTAAATAACAACAAAAATCATATATTACTAGGCTTGTTGGAAGCTTAAGCTCGGCTCGACAAAGCTCACGAGCTTTGGAAGAGGCTCGGGCTCGGCTTGTATGAAGCTCGAGCCGAGCTCGAATTGAGCCTAGGATGAGTCAAGCTCGAGCAACTCGCGAGCCGCGAGCTTTTTTGACAGCCCTACTTTCAAGGTCTAACGACTATTCTCTCCATGTAGCGCCTTTTTACTTCCTAGACCGGCTTTTGTTCCAATAGTGAAGAAACAATCTTTAACACCGGTTGAAAACCCCCCTTTAGTACCTGTTATAGCAACCGTGACAAGTAAATCGGGACTAAAGATCTCGATCTTCTTACTGGACCGACTTTGGTTACACTAGTGAAAAAATGATATTTAACACCAGTTGGAAACCCCTTTAGTACCGATTGTAGCAACCATGACAAGCAAATCGACTTTGGCTACACTAATAAAGAAATGATCTTTAACACGGGCTGGAAACCCCTTTAGTACCGGTTGTAGCAACTGTGACAAGCAAATCGGGACTAAAGATCTCAATCTTCAGTACAGGTTGAAATAACTTGTATTAAAGATGCATACCAAATCAAAAAATGGGTGGAATGTAGGATTCCAACTCAAGA